ACATTTTCTAAAAAGAGCAATTTGGAGAGAAGCTCGCATTATTTTTCACAGTGTTACAAATTCCTCGGGGGTGATTGTCATCGGGGATAGTTGTCCTCGGAAAAGGAGGGTAGTTGTACTTGGGGGAATTGTCCACGGGGGGTAATTGTCCTCGGGGTAGTTGTCCTCGGGGGGTAATTGTCCTCGGGGTAGTTGTCCTCGGGGGGTAATTGTCCTCGGGGGGTAGTTGTCCTCGGGGGTAATTTTCCGGGGGTAATTGTCCTTGGGGGGTAATTGTCCTCGGGGGGTAATTCTCCGGGGGGTAATTTTCTGGGGGGTAATTGTCCTTGGGGGGTAATTGTCCTCGGGGGGTAATTCTCCGGGGGGTAATTTTCTGGGGGGTAATTGTCCGTGGGGGGTAGTTTTCCGGGTGGTAATTTTCCGGGGGGTGATTGCCCAGGGGGTAATTGTCCTGATACGCTGAAAATACGATACTGTGTCTACTAACTTAGGAGGCTCTTCCCAATGTCTAGCTAATAAACTTTATCTGACACGCTTTCAGGCCATCTTGTCATGATATTTCTCATAAAATGTCGTCACAGCACATAACAAGACCTTTTCCAGACATAGTTTGATCCCAGTCTATGGGTTAGTCACATACGTGCTCTATAAGTTCCAGGCAATCTCTGGATTGGGCGTTAGTGAGTCATGCCTTTAAAGGTTCTCAACAACTTTTCAAACATAGACATTGAAGAATCAGTCTGTATACAAGGTGGTGAGAAACTAGTCAAGATAGCTAATTAAGGGCGGGAACAAAAAATATAGTTTTTTGTTTTCATATCGTGATTTTCAGCAAGTTATGATTCTATGATACATGATGTAGGCATAAAGTGAACTATGGTACTTGTATATACAATCATCTACGTGTACTACAGTTCAAATTGGACGTTGTATTTTGCGAAATAATCTATTTCCCCCGCAACATATTGTCCTCTCGCATTATTGGATTTTCTAGCAAATCCCATAATATATCACAGGGCCTTCGTTTATTTCAGGTACTTAGCTGCCACCGGACTGTACACCGTAAATTCATTAGATGACAAATTGGCTTTAGTTTAGGGCCATGCATATCTATACAACATCAAAATGGTCGCATCTTATCTGTCGGCAGATCTAACACGCTGTAGGGTTGACCCCCCCCCCCCCCACCCTTGCCTTTAGAACATCTGTCACATTTATCGTGTGTATTCGAAACATTCATTAGACCCGCACTAATTGAATTCGTGGACACGCAATGATGATCAGATGCGGTTAAAAAAAAAGCGGTTTTCATTTGTTATAACTGCAATTCAATATCCATACCATTAGTATAGTATTAATGACTGCTTTGAGAGAAATAGTTGTTTTTATACGCTCAAGGGAAGGTTAGAATTGTGCTATTACCCGAGGCGTGCCGAGGGCAATAGCCCAATTGTAACCTTCCCGAGAGCGTATAAAAACAACTATTTCTCGAATATTAAAGCAGTCATTAATACTTTTATATGCCGAAAAAAAATAAAAAATAAAAAATAAAAAAACATTGTCGAAGATGGGATGTAACTTAAGTCAGCGCCTTAAACCGCTCGGCCAGCGCGCTCTGTCACCATATATAGCAGTTTTCTCTAATATATACATTAAAATGGATTGAAAACTGCTTCGCGTGGTCGATGCTTCGCCGCTGCTCCATTAAACGGGCCCTTCTTTTACTTTTGCAATGCATATTGGCATATTAGATCAAGATCTATCGGCAGATGTTGTTTTTTTTTTTTTTTTGGAAGTTTATTTTCGTCTTCATGTCAACACTGCAAGATAAAATTGTCTGTAAGATCGATCGAGATTCAATTGTATTGAAATTACCGACCAATTCTTCGCACAAGTACGATATCCTCAATCGCTCAGACCATTTTTTAACATGTAAACCTATGGGGTAACCACGGAGACTGACCTATTTTCCCAATAACCATGGTTATTGGGATTTTGAACTGTTTTAACCATGATTACTGGGAATTTTCGGGAACAGTTAAAGTTTATGAATGCAATTTCGACCAATCAGATTGCTGGATTACTTAAGTGAGGTATATAACACTAAATACTTCATCTACGATCGCAACTACTTCCGAAAAATCGACCTAAGGCAATTTCAATAGCCTTGTAGGTCACCTATGAAGAGTGCGAAAATGACAATAACGTATTTAGTAATCTGAACACGGTTATTAATAGTGTATTGCAAATTTGAAATTCACATGAGTTGACTTTTTTCTCGACAATAGTTTCGATCGTGTTCATACATGTATGTCTTACTATTGGTAATTTTTTTTGTTAATAACTCACTCAGAGTGACATCATTTTGTATTCCATTACCATGATTTCCTCTGAAAATGACATGACAGTACTACTACAAGGGAATGAATGAATGAATGTCCACTGACCAAAGACAAATAGAAAGCCAACGATAAACCAAATAAAGTGCAGGGGCGGCGCGAACGTTATGCATACAAAATCATTACAACAGAAGTAGGCAAGATACAAGATTGGAGGCAATACATGTTTCAGAAGGGAGGTATTCCCAGACAAAAGGAAAGAAAAAATAGAGGAAAATCAATGTTTCAAACAAGAAAACAAAATGGTGGTGGTGTTGGTGGTGAGGAAAAGGGGGAGGAGGTGTTTTAGAGATGGTTATCGGGTGCTACATCCTGGCCGAGACACCGGAACCGTAAAGGAAATGGGTTTGTTCCTGTTGATCTACAGAACGACTCCAAGAGCCCTGTGGATTTATTATCAATGCTCCATCGGTGTAAGAAAAACAGATTCTTCCTTTAGTTTTTCCAAGGAATTCCTCCATTTCGTCCTTCCTGCATTGCTCTCATTACAATGCAGATTCACATCATGCTTACGTAATGCGCTTTCGAAAGTGAAACATGAAAAGGAAATCGACTTTTGTTGTGAAAAAGATAGAGAGAAAGTGGGTGAGAGAGATATTGTGTGTGAGACAGTGTGTGTGTGAAAGAAAAAAGAAAGAGAGAGAGAGAGTGAAAGAAAAAGAGAGAGAGAGTGAGAGAGAGAGAGAGAGAGAGAAGGGGAGAGGGATAGAAAAAGAGAAAGGGAGGTGGGGTACGAGAGTGAGAACGAGAGAACGAGGGAAGTGGGTGATGCACGGAGAAGAATGTTGACAAATAATTGTTTGCATTTGAATGGAAGCAAACAAATGTTTGTTCATTTCATATAATTTGTATTTCATGTAATTTTGTGAAAACTTGATTACTTCCAGAAAAAATATGTCGAGTACAGGTAAATGCATAAGAATATATCTTCTACATGTCCAAATTATTGTATGCAATCACTAATGAGGAAGTTCCGGCAAGATTTTCAGAGTTTATCCAGGGAGTTGTAAATGGTTAATGTCGCATGCATAAAATCTCATGAAACGTCCCATTTTCTCCGGGAAGTCACAAAAGCAATTACTCAGATTGATCAAGGAGTTAATGCACTCCTTGCTCAGATGCATCATACCTCTCTCGAAGTTCTTGTAAACTACAGGGTCTAGTCGTTACATTCGCTTTGAATTAAGAAAATCCCAATCATACGTGTCTATGAAGTTTGAGTTGTTGAAATGCAGGTCTATCTGGGAATGAGATTATAAGACAAGCTACCCACCACGAGTAGGATGAACGGATTCGGAGCTATAAGTGTAAGCGTATTGCTCATTTCATTTCCTCCAATATTATTAATCTTTTGTCATTTGTTAGCACTATTTTTTTATTAACTACAGAGATCTCAATAATCTTGTAATTATTTATAAGCCTTTGCCTAAGCTAAATATTTAGCATGTATGTATAAATATACATGATATACATGTTAGTACTATGATGTGCAGCAAACGAGACTGACGTTCTCTTCTTCTTTTCTGAATGTTTTCGAATCGAAATATTTTCGGATTTCTCCTAAATCCATGAAAAATCTTCCTCTTTGACCTGTGACCTGCATTTTCTACAATCGGGCCAAGAACTTTCTCCTATTTCTAGGTCTTGTTAGGGTCTCAGAAGTGAAACTTGATGTCCATATTCTCAGACGCTGGGACCTGCTCCCATTCGCCAATGTTATTTACTTTTTCACAAGGCGTCTGCAGTGTTTTGATAGACGTGCATGCTCGTGTGTAAAAGCTTAACGGAGCATATGACCTTAGATGACCTTTGAACTCTGAAAGGATGTAGGTCAGTCTACGGGAGGGCTTGAAGAGCGTGTCATTTGAGAGTCAAAATCGATGGCATCTATTAGCTACCACTAAATAGTCGGTAATACGCATAACTGGCAAATCACAACCCTGAATACAACTTATAGGGAATTTATGAAACAGCGTATTTTGAGGCATATTATCAAACTTTTTGTTCGAACTAACAAAGTGAGAATATTAATAACCAGGAAGTAATAATCACAATGGCTGTAATTTCAATTTGAGTAATATTCGTTCAATCGTTTAAAAAAGTATAGAATCCAATATTGAGGAAGTTGCTTCTGTAAATTCAATTTGGAACAATTATTGCATTCCACAGTATATTTCAAAATGTTAAGTATCACTTTACATGCAATTTCCTTTAAAATTTGTATCAAATCTCTGACCCATTTTTACTGTAAGCTTAACGATTATAAAACACGTGTATCGGCGACAATTGCTTAGCAGTCAAATGATAACATAATGCGACTTCTTAACTTTTTATCCCTGGACCCAACACTACATCCAAATCTAACCCTAAACCTACCGAATCCCCATCATGATACAAACAGTGATATTTGCCTGTGAACAAATATAGCCTGGAGCGATTGACCAATTCACAAATGACAAGGTGACTTTGATTAACTTGTGACAAAAAGATATCAAATAACTTCATTAATAATGATGTGTAAGTTGATTGGAAGTTGGTTAGAAACTTAGAATGAGTCAATAATGATCAAGATGGTATATGAATAAGCTTTTGTGTTCTTACCTTGCTTTAACGATGCATATTTGCCACCAAATTCGAAGGCACCTTGTGGACAGCTATCCTCTAGGATGAAGTAATTGGCTTTCGTCAGTCCAGGCTTGGAGGACTTCAAGACCCTGGTTCCACTGTCCACTCCTAAGTGACGTCCATTGTTGTCCCTTAGTACCAGGTGACCGGATGTGAAGATGAGTGTGAACTGCGTCTGTTCGTTGGCTGTGCCAGCAAGCTGTCCGTCGGTTTGGACAAACTTTCCGTTGAAGGCCTCAAGGCCGTACTTTCCTTTGCCCAGGTAGACAAGAGTGAGTGTGGAATCAGCTCCCCAGGGAACCAATTCGTCTACAACCACGCTGTCTTCACCCTCCTCACTGGTTTTGAGATGTGCGTAGCGTTGGTGCTGGACGTTCTTCATGCAGACCTGTGGATGGATGGCCAGCTGGACAGTCCAGTTTGCTGAGGGGTTGCTGGTGCTGGATTCACTGCAGATCAGCTCCTCACCATTGCAAGCTAGGTACCTCTGGTGAGAAACATTCTTGAGGGCCCATTTACCATCGGGTTGCAACTCGATCTCGAATCCTGTATCCGCGTCCTCCGTCCTGTCCTCAACATTGCAATAGACGTTACCGTTTTTATCTGCAGAGAGGAAGTTACCAGAGGGCGCCTTCAAGTAGCTGATCGTGCTGCTCTCTTCTTGCTCTAGGATCCATACTTGCCTGGCTTTTAACGTTGCTCCTGAGGCATTGACTTTGCCACCAAACTTCTCAGCAGTGAGGTATCTGCCGGCCGAGTTGACCAGGCCAAATTTGTATTTTAAATTCATAGCAGGCATTGTGAAATATGTTGATGTCCTCAAACGACCACTTCTGAAAGAAAGATAGAAAACAAAAACATTTGAAAAGGGAAATGTAATAATTCAATCAAACATGTGATAGTTTTCTTTTACAAATAATGTGTGCACACGAATAGTATTAAAGGTAAAGACCAGTATTGGAAACGCCCCAATTTCAAAAAATGAAATGGAAGCTCTCATTACCAATCATGTGAAAGAATATGTTTTGACTAATACATGATGATAAAAAAATTGCTGGGAAACCGCCTACTAATTCATATATTTGGTAAATTTGTTTCTCTCATGGTCTGTGAGAGATATAGGGTAGTCCCATATACATCTTTCTGTGTATAGTGCTTGTAACTTTACGAAGAATTGGCCAAATTTCTTATCATTTTGATGATTCCAGAACCTTGCAGATGCTAGATGCTAGATGATCAACCTTTTCTGATCAATTCCACAACGTTTCTTTCACAATGCAATCGCAACCTTTAAGCATTACTTTGATTGTTGAGTCCATGATTCAAAGGCCCCAACCTGCGATAATAGGAGGTTGGAAGTATAGTGTGTTCTGACCAGGGACCTTTAAAGTGTTGATTGACAAATGTAGAAATTAATTCAAAAGTCCTCGGTAAGTCAATGTGAACTTCAATCATGACACCTTAGTTGAACTGAAGGTTTAGTATACACCTACGTGCCCCTACATAACAAAAAACTGTATGCTATTGTGTTTTGTATAATAATTGTAAATGCTCTTGAACTGATACAAATCAAGGGGCGTATGAGGCGAAGCCGCTGAGTGACGACAAATAGCAAACGTTTCTACAAAACGCATGTAATTGATCAATTATCAAGCTTAGAGCGTTTGGCAATCTCATTCGTGTTTACTTGGCATGACCAATAATAGTATGATTGTTTAAAGTGCAGAGGCAATTTAGTACAATACAAGTCAACTGGTAGTAAATAGATAATCTATATGACTTGATAACAATTTGAGCAGTAAAGATAATTCTTTTTCAGCGCAAACGAAGTGATTTCTGTAGTAGTCATGTAAGCATCCATCTTTGTACTTCTGAGGGGTACCTTGATTGTGTCTTACAACTAATCAAAGAAAATACACATTTGGAGTAGATTATCGCCAATTATTCTTATCTATATTATGGAACATGAAATGACATAAATATAAAAATGAGAAGTGTGCCTTCAGAGTATAGGATTTGGTGAGCTGAGCACCACTTAAAGGTACTATGTCCCATTTGCAGGCCAAAAAATGAAAAAGTTAAATTCCAACTGCATTTGAAAGATAATACTAATTTAGAACCTCCCTAAAAAAGATAGGGCTTAAAGATGTCTTCAAGTGGGAAAAAAAATGACTATTAGTTTTCAAACCGAATTTAGGGCTATAGAGCCCAAAAGTAATAGTCTTGATTTTCAGACAATTGTACTGAATGGTCATAAGTTTTATGCTGCGCAAAGATTCAATCAGCTTAATCTTGGCCATCACAAGAAGTGGGTTATTGATGTAGACAAATGCTCATGTACCCTTTACAACTCTTTTCATGCATGTTATTACCAAAGAAGAAAAAAGGCCAATCAGTCACTCTATAGTTTCTGACAGTGAAGTCTAGCAAGTAAACGGGTTTCCTTGCATAATTTGAATATGAGGACACTGCTAACATTTAAATTTCACAGATAGGACATACATGACATATTCATAATTCCTGCAAAGTTCTACAGAATTTGAGGTTGGCTGCAAAAGGGACATAGTACCTTTAAGAACGATGCCCTCAACCCATGATACCAGTGCCCCCCCCCCCCCACACCTGATATCTGGACCTACGCCAACATAACATTCACGAGAATGAACAACCGAAGTTCTTATCTCGTCAAAAATCACCATGTTCACAATCCTATGCTGTTAGACGACACTCCATCTGGAAAACCATCGGATAGTTCTATTAAATGTTCACGTGAGGTTAATATACCGGAAGTAACAGGTTACACATAGCGACTTCCTCCTAAGTGCCACGCCCATTTTGTGTTCTTCCCAAAAGATCTGAGTGTTAAGCCATCCGGCTTTTACTGTTCCTGAGCAAATGTTGACAATGTCTCTTGAGTTTAATGTTTTATGGACTTCCTGGTCTCACCAAACCTTCCAAAATTTAAAAAGAGGATATATTATTTTGTTCAGCACAAAGAATGCACCGACATTGGACGATATTAAGACTGGGCAGCAAGTTAAGATTAACAGGATTTATCAGTGTTACCCTTTCTAAAAAAATAGCACCCTTTTTAAGAATTTGAGAAAAACATCTATCATCGCACCAAAATTGATATGAAAACATTTAGTGTTGTTCTGTGTTTCTCTTTGGAATCGTTCATAACTAACACCGAATCCCTCTCTGTGTAAAAATAAAAAGACTGCCTCTCCATGCATTCTGATTCTGTGACAATTACGTGCGTCGTTTTTCACGGTTGGCCTCGCAGATCTTTTGTTCAAAACCAAGCCATTTCATTCTCCCATTCCAACCCTTTTGTCAAAGGGCTTCCAGGGTGCCCGTTTGCTTAATGTTACACCCCATGAAATCTGAAAGGACTTCTATTCTTATGCAAAATAGCTTTTTGGGTTCCCCGCCAGCTCGCCATTTGAGAAGAGAAATCACAACGGTAGTCGGGCTCCCATATTACTCATTCAAGAGAGCAAGGTACAAACCAACGTTCATAGCAGTACAGTGAACAAAACCAGGGGCGTTAACTTTGCAGCCCGACAATGCCTTTAAGTTCAATCGGTTTCTAATTAACAAATACTTAGTCCTTTACATAATCATTACCTATTTCAAAGACAATGAAGTATTAAAGGACGGAGGGATCAAGCATTCCCCTCTTCCAAATCAAAATAGACGATGTGACAACTATCAAATATGAATAAGAAAAAGAGTATGTTTAACTATATGTGCATATTAACACAATCACATTATAAAGGCATACGTAGAAGACAAAGATCTACTTTGCTGCCCTGGAATAATTAATCACCGCATTGTTTATCATCAATCTCTACAAATAACTATGAGATTACTGATCAAATAATAAGTAACAGTTGAATAAATAATAGATCAACAGAATGATCATCCTCTTTACTATGTCACTGCAAAATAAAATGTTGATGTAGGCATATATTATGTTGGAATGCCAATTACATGAAAAAAACCTCTACGTTATAATAGTAGTGAATGGTATTTCCAAGACAGAAAGGTGAAAGCTTTACAGGGCCATCTTAGAAAGCAGATTTATGAACTGAAGAGACTACCCTGTATAACGAGCCCCGAGTAATAAATAATTCAATAAAAGGGAAAGGAGCTGAACTATTAGGGGATACTGCATCAACACTATCGTATGTCCCTGGGTTGAAGCAAAGAGTTTTTTAGAAGAAAAAAATGAGTGAGGTGAAGGGGGAAACAACTGAAGACATTGGTTGTTGATTGACTTGGCACGTGGTAAAACCATACCAGGAAAGGAAAATATTTGTAATAAGATATCAACATAGTCACAGGGAAATAACAACACTTCCATGAGGATGTTTGTTATCAATAAATACAGCATAAACTCAAGATAATGATATCCTTTGTCACGTGGAGCAATATGTTTCATTTTCATTCCAGGGATACCGGGATAAAATATATGCCTTATTGATAAAAAGATTATATTACGCTAAATATAGTTCTGATGTGGCCCTTTAAACAAACCAGACAAAGCATGAATGTCTCCCCCAGACAGGCTTACACCACCATGGACCTACTACACAAACTAGGAGATTTCATCCATGCTAACCACAGCTAATAATTCACGCAAATATAGCGAAGGTCTTCACCTACAGCAAGCAGGTCGGCCATTTTAAAGGGAATATTGGAAACTCCTGCTTAAAGCGAAATACTTGATCAATTACTGAATGATTTCAACAACTCCGAAACTCATTATACATATTCATGTCCGAATTTCCATGACAGCAACATTATTCAAGCATAACATGTCACTGAGCAAAATAAGTCCCCCCCCCCCCCACCCCCTGCCTCTTCCACATATATTCGTAGTATTGATATAGCCTTGAGTACTATCATTACGTTCATTAGTTATCAGCCAGAGCGGAGTGATTATGCTAATCACTTCGAATACTGGGATTAAATGATGTTCATTTCGAGGGAGGGGTATAAAAAAAAACTTGTTTGGCCATATACCCCTCGCAAAAGTGCAAGCTATAGTGATAAACATCATCGTGCGAGGCAGATGGCACACTTTTAAAAGCGTTCTAGTCACGGGTATCCTCATTTAATGACTTTCATTTTGTGGAAGGGCATTTAGACCTCGTAAACTTTATAGGCGCAGACATCAGAATTTTACTTTGTTTACAATAATGCTGGTATGTTAAAGGTTATTAGAGTATAAATGTATAAATTACGAATAGATCCGGCATGGACATGCACCCTCGATTCCAAGAATGTTATTATACATCCAACATGAGAAGGGCACCAATCGACTGTATTATCATTCAATTAATAAGATTTACTCGATGATACTGCATATCGAATCGGCATAACGGTTTTTATATTGTGAATAGTCTGTTTTGTTGTTAATTATCCCCTTGAAATAATATTGCGTCGTCTATTTTTACTAAATACAGATATCATTTTTTTGATAATAATGAGTGCTCGAATAGCAAAACGTTGAATTTAAACGTTGAATTTGACCGATGATAGAACGTACAATACCGTCAGGATAAGGCCATTTAAAAATATATACATGTTTAGCGTCCCCGCCCGCTTCCTTTTTGGGGGCCGCTTCTATTTTCATTTTTTTTTTTTGTTGAAATTTTTGAAATTTTTTGAAATTTTGAAAAATAGCCAGACTGTCGGGAAAAATGTACCGAGCATTTTTTTTTTGCGCGGCCATTTTGAGCGGCCATTTTGAAAGAAGAAAAAAAAGGGCCTCCTCCTTCCTATTTTTCGAAAAAACAGGACGCTAAACATTTTTTTTTTAATTTGGCCT